GCAAAAGTCTGTAAACTACTTCGTACGCATAGAAAGTCATGTCAAATAAAAGACAGCCATTCCATACTAAAATCAAAGGAGAGAAAACATAATTTATGACTTCGACTGTTTTTTTAAGATTACCGAAGAACAGCAAATGTCTTCTTATCAAGTGAGGATTTTCTTTAACATTTCTCGTACAAGAAATAATTGCACACTTAATTATAAGACAATAAATAGAATATATCAAGCAAAAGATATTTCTAGTAAAATTAGTGCACCATGCTCCCCAGGTTGCCTCAAATGTTATGATTATTTGCCAAAACCATTTCGGCATACCAAAAGAATCAATGTCGATTCCGCATACGAACAAATCGAAATACGGTTGAAGAGGTAAAGTAAGCATTGCATAAAATACGGGAAGAATTTCGAGACAACCGAAAATCCAAATTCCAATACCATAAACAAATGCCCAACGTTTCAGATTGGAGAAGCTATCATTCAAATAATCAGAGTATTTATTTATCAAATCGATTACGCTATCCCAGACAGAGCTTATCAAAACTCTGAGACGATAGAATGATATTAAAGACTGTATACATGTTATAATTTCCCATATTAAGATAAAATATATTTGAATTGGAAATTCTTTCATAAACACAAACGTAAGATTAGTAAGAATAAAATGAAGGCGTAGATAAATAATGACGAAGATGAAATTACTCCAGCAATAATTTTTTCCAGTCAGATTCATTCCATAGAGTCTCGTGGAATATAAAAATAATTTTATATGTTTATAGAGTAAAATGTTGCTTTCCATGATCCTAAAATTTACATACGATATTTACTGAGCTTCTTTTGATGTCTGAAAATAAAATACAATTAGTTATTAATTTAAAATATATATATATGACATTGGAAGAAAAATTTTACTGTAATTGAATTATCAGTTTTAATACTTTATAATAAACATATATAGGTAGAAATCTATATCGAAACTAATATTAATTCTTAGAATTGTATATTTTCTAACTGTAATAATGAGTTTTGTTATATCACCGTTTATTTAAATATGTTATTGTTAGAAGTAATTGTATGTTTTATAATTATCGTAAAACTCTACTTACCTCATATTTATTAAGTTATGATTTACACAGAAGCCTCTAATACACTGCAATTCAAAAGTTTACTGGCAATGACTACGTATTGAATACGCTTTAGTAATGTGGGAAAGTAGTTAATCTGCTGAGAAATCAATAAGGCAACGGTAATAAAATAATGTTTATTACTAGTGTCACGAATTACCGTTATACCGGTAATTCGAAATATCCCGCTACCGATAATAAACCAGTAACTTTAATTAAAATGCCTCAATGTCCTTTTTTTCTCACTAAAATATAAATTTTCGTCTATAATATCGTATCTTCTATTATCAGGACTGGCTTTACAGAAAATATTTTTATTTTACTTAATATACAGGTATATTAAGTAAAATAAAAAATGTTTTTCTGTAAAACTTTGTAATATTTTCTGTAAAGCCAGTATAAGTCCTGATAATAGAAGATACGATATTATAGACGAAAATTTATAACAAGCATAATTTGATAAGTAAGGAATCTTATTTTCCGTGTTGCGGAGTGGACAGAACAACTAAACATTGGCGAAATTGATGCTGTGTACAAATTTTAATGTTACACTAAAATTTTCCGATAGTATATCAATTATTCAGAAATCCAAAAATACTTTACTCAAAACTAAAAGTTAAAAAAAGGTAAATAAACAGAATGATATAGATTTATTACATATTTGTCAACATGTACATTGATTATTAACAGGACAATTACACTGGTGTTAAGAATTTACACAAGAATGAGGAAATGTTTTAAAAAATAAACAGACTTTCTTTATTAAACTACCTGTCTTGATTCTTTCTATTTCCTTTGACAATTTCTCACCTTGCATTAATAAAGAAAGTCTGTTTTCTCTAAAAACATTTCCTCATTCTTGTGTAAATGCTTAACACCAGTATAATTATCTTGTTTATGATAAATGTCCATGTTGACAAATATATAATAAATTGAATGACAGTAAGGTAATAATAATTACACAATGATATAGATTTCATTGCCCGTTGAAAACGGTTTTCAACAGGTTTTCAGTTTCTGCTAAAACCAAGATTAATCAAAAACAGTTTCATTGCCTGTGCTACTAAACACTCACCAACAGGCTGATCATGACGAGTTTTAAAGGCTTTCTTTACGTGTAAAATATATAAATAGGTATTACTACTAGTTTCTCATAGAAAATTATTCCGGAAGGCATTTTCCTTGGAAGATTGCCTATCTTGCCATACCTCATTCTATTAATCTTGTTCCTCGTATGGAAAAATTCTATTCTATTAAATATTTTAACGAAACGGCTTTATCATTTTATTTTAATACATAAACTAAGGAAAACAAAATTAAATTAATATCGAAACAAATTTATCAAACAGACATTTTCCATTTCTTTTCAGTTTCAGAAACATCAGGAAGGCAATGATCTTTTCTTAACTTACTTGTTCATCTAACAGTAATAAACATTCTAGTTAAAAAACATTATAAATAGTTCTTTAACAAACTTAAAAATTTAATAATTTTTACTACTAAGACAAAAATCGTTTGATAGAAGTGTTATTTAAAAAGGGTATTTAAAAATGCTATTCGGAAAATGTACAGTACGTGCAAAAAAAGAGATATTAATAAATAATATGTATAAGACAACCCAAATAGAAACATACTATTATTTAAGATATAAAAACATGGAAATTAAAATAAGGGCATAAAATAAATAAAAAAAAAACTATTTGAAAGAGAATCATTAATTAGATAAAAATTAATATTAAAATTAGATTTGAAAAAAAAGAATTGGTTACAGAAATTACAAGAGAGTAGTGCAAAATAAACAGCAATAAAAATTGAGCATGATTTGTGTAATTTATACAAATCTTGCTCATTCTGTTTTCTGTTCGAAATGTTCTGTTGAACATTTCGGTTCAACAGAAAACGTATTCTGTTTCGATTTCAGGATGTGTCTTCTACTGTATTTCGTTCTGGTTGTACAGTGTTACTTTCTGGTTGTAGGAAGCCATGCTGAAGAGGACAAAAAAAGGCGAAATGCATTTGGGTTGAAGTATAGTGTTAAATAAAAAAATTTTTTCTCTTAAAGTTAACCTGTTTGTCCTTTTTTGTTTTTAATACCTGTCTACGGACTTGGAATTTTTTAAGCCTCCAGAAGTCAGAAAAGAAAGGAAAGTTATTTTTCCGCGTAGCCTACTAGTGAATAGTACAATTGGGTAAAGACAATTTTATCTGACTCCATTGTTTTTTAAATATTTTTATTAATATCGATTTTAGCTGTTTTTGTTTGGATATGAATTGTTTTTTTGGTTGATAATTTTATTATTACATCAAGACCTAAGACGATGCAGTACAGTTTGGACGGTCGCTGATCAAAGGCTTTCAATACGCCTTTCAGTAAAATCATTATAAAAAGTTTTAATTCACGTAAATTTGAGCTTTTGTTATTCTGAATAACATTTCGAATAAAAATCATTCTTTCCATACAATTTTATTCTTACAGGTATAAAATTAAGCCATAAAACTGGACGAGTAACTTTTTTGTCAATTTAATTTAAATTAATTATAAAATACTTATACTTAAATTATTATAAATATTTTTATTAACTGTTATTTAAAAGATAAGATTTTCTGAAACTTTATTCGAACAGTTTAAGACAGATCAGATTTTGGTTTAACATTTACCGGGTCTTTCGTTTTTATTATTATAGAAATAAGTTCCTGATATTTACGTAACAAACTTTAAATTTATTTAAATTAAAATTTTGTCAAAATTTGGAAACATTGATAAATTATTATTTTTTTACGGGTTTTCCGGCCTCTTTAAGTTCAAGCAAGTCATGTCTCTCACGATGGATATGCATCATTAATTTAGTTTTTATATAAATGATATATAATTTTATATGAAAGTCAAATAAAATTTTATTTTTACTGGATATGATTACAATGATTATCTTTAATAATGTCACGTAAATTCTATTTTAGAATTTTATTTTGATTAGTAGATGCGTTTCGTATTGTTTAATAAATACAATTTAAGATATTTTCAAATTTCTATTCTATTTATTTATTTGCATTTTATTCAACTAATTATTAAATGAATATAACATTAATTAGTTTGACAGCTTTTCTCACAATTTGATGAAAAGGTTTTAATACATATCAACATTATTTTATAAGCAAATAAAATTATCAATTAAACTTTAGTATTATACTATAAAGAAAAATATTTTTGTCAAATTATATTTGTTACTATAATTATGTTTAAAGCTGAATGAAATATTGAAAACGTTATCATTTAATCCGCATAATTATGCTGTAATTAATATAATTATTCATTATTGTAACAATTCTATTGCTAATTCATATTTGATTTTAAATGGATTTATTATTACCTAAAATGTGTTGCATGCATATTTAGTGTTTCTCTTCCATATGCTTTTTTATTTTCAATGGAAAATATTGTTTTTAATTGCAAATTTAAACAAGAATTTAATTGTTATTGATTTAATATTTAAAAGTTCTGCTAAACTTTCTCTCTTTATTCTAATTTTAATTACATAAAGAAAAAGTTTGAAGGTTTTACAAATTGATTATTACATTTAATAAAAGTTAAATTATAAAATTAAAACGCAAATGATTAAAAACACCTTGAAGTTTTTTTATTGTTCATATTAAATAATTTCTAAAAACCAATACATTTAAATTAGTCTTTATTTTAAAAAGTTCTAGGTTTATTACAAAATTAATACCTTTTATTTTAGTAATTAACACAGAATATTATAATTTAAAATTTAAAAACATTTTTTTTAATAAAGGAATAAAATCTCTAGTTTTAAAAATTTATATTAAATCACAGACCAATTACACCTGTATTACTTTTATAAAATATACACACACGCACACATACATATGATTTTTCTTCAAAAGCTTAGCTTATAACATATCGAAATTTAGCTTGTTTGTACCACCAATCTTCTTTAGTATTTTCTTTACCATTTTTTTCCTCTTTTCCATTTTTCTTTTCTTTTCCATTCTTTTCTTCTTTTCCATTCTTTTTCTCTTTTCCATTCTTTTTCTCTTTTCCATTCTTTTTACTTTTTCCATTTTTCTTTCCTTTTCCATTTTTCTCATCTTTTCCGGATTTTGAACTCAAAATATCTCTACCATTTAAAGGTTGAATTGGTCTAACTTCATTCAAATCTCTTCCATCTTTTTCTGTTTCTATACTTCTAAATTTCTCTAACTAAATTTATAAAAACAATTTCAGAATTAAAAAAATATATCATCGATGCAAAATTTATAAAATGCCTAAAAGTTAAATTCCTAAAATAATTAAAAATAAAACACATTTTGAAATAATTCTCTCGTTATTTTATTGGAACTTTTAAAGATACGTTACTTAAACTTTACCTGGCTTTTGCTAACAGTATTAGAGTAATGAAAAATTATAAATTTATAAGACTCCGAACATTCAGGTATCAATGCAGATCCATTATAAGTTATATAATAATCTGTGTGAGATGGCAATAAATCTTTTAACGTTAAAGGAGACTTCAGCGTCGAATTCGAATCTACTTCATCAACATCTTCCAATGATTTGACTACACTTTTTAAACCTTTATTTGATTTCCCGACCTAAAATTAAAATTTTTAAGCATTTTACTTTATAATAAAATTTCAGGAATATTTTAATACATGCTAATTTTACTTACGTCAAAGAGAGAAACTAATGCCAAATTGGCATCAGGTTTATCCTCAACTTTATCATATTTCGTATTTAAATGAAACAGGGCAACCTGTTTATAGAATAAAGTTCTAATATTATTTCTAAATTCTTGGTTTGTGAATTTTATAATAATAAAATAAAATTCAAAGGACAAATTGATATTAATTTATATTCATATATCTTGATCTTAACTAACATTTGATAGCCATAATCGACTTGTCTATCTACTCAAAGAAAGTTGATTAAGGTCAGTAAATATATAACTGAAATATACTACAAACCCTCTATTACTGTTTATTACCATCTTCCTTTTTTAAAATGTCTCTAATTATAGTTTTTGCAAAAAATATGCTATTAAATATCTCATTCTACATGTTTATGTGTATATTTATAGTTATTTTTATATCGATAACTTAACATTTAATAACAGAAAACTATAAGGAACATTTAAATACAATCAATTATTAACTTATTACTAAAATAATACAGCTGTATTTTCAACTAGTAGACCAAACCTTCTTTCATGGCTGTATTCATAGATGATATCATAGTTTTTCTCTTCGTAAAAAGCATGTCGCCGATTAAAAAGATTCAGAACGTAAAAATAAACAACGAGAATTATATATTAAATTATAATGTTGTCAAATTTTTATTTCGATAATAAAATGTAAACTGGGATAATATTTAAATAGAACAATTATACTCTTATGTATAATTTTGACACTCGATAAAACGAATATAATTAATTTTGTGCCTTCATTTGTCATTGAAATAATGTCATAATCAACGCATCTTGATAATATTTAAATCACCACACGAATAAATATATGATTTAGATAATCAAGAATATTTTAAAGAATTCTTCGTTGAATATTTTAAAATTTTCAGGGTTATGAACCCATTGATAAACTATTACAAAGACATAAACTAGGTCGAACAACCGTATAATTTTCTTTTTGGTTGTTAACAAGGATAAATAAATAAATCTTAGATATATATATAACAATTATTTATTAGATTAGGAAGTTTTTAGGAGTTTTTTACAAAAAATTTAAATAATTAAGCAATAAAAAATAAAAATCTTATTATCGTAAAAAAGTTAAGGAAAATTAAATAATTATATATTAGATTTTTATACACGTGAATTTTTTTGAAAATTTCTTATTTATTTCAATAAATAATTAAATATATATATAAAAAAAACTTACCTCGAGAGGAAAATATTTGCTATCAACTGTATGCTCAGATCCATTTTTGTTAGTTTTACCATATTTAAATGTAATTCCGATTAAACGATACGTAGCTCCTAGCCATTCACTTGTAACAGTGACATCATTATCCTTTGGTAATGCAATATAAACTATTGAAAAAAATAAACATAGTTATTTTTCAACATTTACTAAATCCTCTAAATTTTTACTATGTATTAATATTTACTCACCAACATAGCCAGCATTTTTTATAAACAAGTCTTTTAATGGTTTGTCATAATTTTCGAAAGTTAATTCTCCAAGATTAGAATCCACAGTTATTGCTTCTGTGTCAATATTTATGGGTGATTGTTGTTTTCCTCTGCATCCTTTGTACAAACAAGGCCACATATCTGGCTCATCTTCGTATTCTTAGAATTGAGAAAATTTCAGACTTTAATTTATAAATTTAAATTTTATTTAATCACATTCTTAAATCAACAGTATTACTTTCATCAATAAGAAACAGAATAATCTTTTATGATAAATTTGTGGTAATTTTATTCTTATGGAAAATTACTATAATGTATATTAACATTACACAGTATTTAATCGTATTTAAATTAGTATATAAAATTTATTGTATAAATATATACATATAACTTTTATGCAAGGAACTTTAAATAGATTTAACTTTTTATATGGACATTAAATTAGCATTTTGGAATATTTATACTAATATTTATGATTAGATACATAAAAGAGGACTCTAATTTTGATGCATGTTCTTCGTAATATTGTATTCGTATTGTAATATATCACTCCTAGTTGCTCATAATTAATTATGAATAATTATTAACTTTGTTCATTTGTTTTATAATACTACCACCAAAAACTATAAATATTTTCTCTTTCTACTTCATTATGATTTATTTTAGTTATTAATTCAGTATCAAATCTAATTTACTTAACATTATGTAAAAAAATAAGCGTCAAATCAATTTTGAATGAAATGCAACTTGATATATTACGGAAAAATTCTTCAAGAATATAAATGTACCATGCATTTTAAACAATAAAGTTAAATTTAAAAATACTAAATTTATCCTGTATTAATTAAATAAAATTTATAGTATATTCAATCTAGTTATTGCGATGCAGTTTTTATATGATTTTTAAAAATATTATATTGTAAATTTACATTTATTTTCATCTACCATCCGTTATTACCATTGACTGGCTGGTAATGAATATGAGAATCGAAATATTAAGACATCCTTGTTTTAATTTTATCTATTATGGACCGACAGCAATGGAGTCAGGTAGCATGGGCGAGGAAGGAGAACGACATCCAAGCTATACTAGCAGTGATAAATTAAGAAAAAAGGATTGGATTTTAACCCGAATCACCTAAAGCAAAAGGTTGACATCCTATCTCGTGGCTACATAACCCTATTTATTGCGATTTACCTCACTTTTCTTTATAAAATAATAGATAAATTTATACCTTTTATCTCCTCTTAACATACACTTTACATTCTAGCAAATAAATTTATATTTAATTGCTACGTCAATAATAAGAATACCAATTAAGAATATATTGTTTTTATTATAAAAATAAATAACCTAAATGTCAATAATCTAATAGTTTATGCTACATCTTCTAAGCAATTATGGGTAGTATTCTATAGATTAAACTAAACTTATATTAAATCTTTTATTCATAAAGCTACTTTTATTATTTTTAAAATAATTTTCAGTATTTATACTGCTTATTAGTAAGTTGTTTAGCATTCTTTGATAAGAATGAATAATTAAACATTTTACTTACGGTCAGAAGAGAGCTCGAAATAATATTCTAAAAGAAAATATTAAAAGAATTTATAAATTATGTATAATAATATTTTTATGTTAATTATATTTAAATATACGTACCTTCTTCCTTCTCTTCGGATTCCTTTTCTTCTGAATCTTCTTCTTCAGAATCTTCCTCGTCAGATTCTTCTGAATCTTTCTCTTCTGATTCTTTCTCCTCTGAATCTTTTTCCTCTGAATCTTCTTTCTCTTTATCTTTATCCTCTGGCTTTTCTTTAGGCTCTGAATAATTTTATTATTATCATTTATTTTACAAACAAAAAATTATCGAAAATTATTTTTAAGTAGTAATATCATATGAAATTACTACTTAAACTTTATTTATTTTTTATATAAATTAAATTTTGTAGTTATATAAAAATAAATATAGAAATTTGCGAAACATTTTTATTTACATGCGTTAATTTTTAATGTAGATCTACATTATTTATGAATCTTTTAATGACTTATTTAATGAAAATACCGAAAAAACGCAGTATAAATTATTGTTTTCATTAAAAAGTAAAGTATTGAATAACTTTTAAATATGTAAAAATAAAATAATACTATATTATTCCATATTAAAACTTAATATCTGGTTTATTTGTTATTATAAAAACTGGTCGTTTTCTATCAGATTATGACGGTATGAAATAATTCTGTATTATCAGTTATTATTATTATTATTATTGTTTTATTTGCGTACTGTAAATTCAATGCACAATTATGCATTTAATACAATTAATATTTTATATCAGTATAATATAATTCTTTCATTATAGAAACTAAGTATTACACGATTTTAATATAAAAAAATAAACATAACACATTTAATATAAGAGTAAAAGTTAAGATAAACAAACTGTACTGTATAACTTTTAATATATTTTTCTCGATTAGCAATCTCTCTAACTTATCTACAACAGTTTAATTATATTGTTAATTGATCCATATTAAAAAAAATTAATTTTACTATATAAGTATGTGAAATAATTATATTTATCCATTTAAATCAGTATCTATCTATTCGGATTTGAGTTATTACATTAGCAAAAGATAAACAACAATAAACTTTTAATATAATTATTAAATAACAGAATTGAAGGTATAGAACTATGGAACAGAGTTCGATACAAAGAAGCATCAAAATATCGTCGATGGTTTACACCAGTCATTGGATCATTTTATAATATTAAATTAAATCATTAAGTATTTTTAACTATAGAGTCTCAATTTTATAAGTTAAATAACATGAATTATTCAGTTACTAAATTTATATTTTTTACTTCTAAATTTTCTATACGAAAATTAAAATAAAATATGATGCAAGCTATAATAAACTATTATTCTATAAATAAATAACCATAATTAAAAATACATCTTGATTCTAGAATTTACTAATTTTCAGATTATTATAATTTATTAAAATTTTAATCAATGCACTTAATATTACATTTAGTAATTTTAATGTCACATTAATTTGAAATCTTAAAAGTATATTAACTATTGTTTAAACTTAAGTACAGTCGACCTTCCTATAACACGTTCCTATAACACGTAGATACGTTCCGGTTTTTATGAATCAATTTTCTACGAGTCCAGCCAATCACAGCCTGGCACGTACGCAGTTTACAGACTACGGCTGTTTGAAAGGTTTCTTCCCTAAAATTAATCGATTCTAGACCAATTCGACTCAACATTTCCAAAATACGTATAATTTTTTGGGAATAATCCATATAAACTATGCTATAAACAAAAAATTGTAGGATTACTTACCGAGCGTGCACCGTTCGACTACGCCATTGCTTAAGCTTGTTTTCGTCGTGGAGCTTGTCATCGAATGGCGCTCGCGTGCTTCCTGATAAATTATTTTTTTTTGCGAAAAATTCGCTGAACTTTGGAGACATCATTAATATAAATATAATTTTCATGGACGTTAAATAATAAATGGTTTTTAGTAGGTCCGCTGCTCGTTTAAACTTAGCAGTTTGTGCAATATCCGCTATTGGTCTAGATTCGACCAATCCTGTCGCGACACGAGTCGGCGATGACGTTTTACCGAATTATAAAAATTTTTTCGCGTGTTTGTACGAATACTGTCGCAATTTTTTCGCCGATACAGGAATCTGAACTATAGGAACCCGAACTGTAGGAACCCGTGTTCTAGGGGCGTCTACTGTAGTTATTTTTGAATATGTGAAATTTTACATAGGCCTAAATGAAGAAAACAGTTGTTTTAATGAGAGGAATTCTAATTATTTTCATAAGTATTTCTGAAAACGATTTAGTATTCACAAGTAAAAGATGAATGGAAGCTTAACAGTTGTTCTAACGAATGGGAGTTTAAAAACTTCCATTTATTAGAAGAACTGTTTAACCTGTGATGTAAAATTTCAGATATTTAAGAATACATTATTCTTACTGTATAATAATCGCATTATTTAACGTTTAATAATTTCTTACCTGCAGCTTTTGCCCAAGGTTGTAATTGTTTCCCGTACCATGGATCGTATTGCCATCCGTATTCACCACATTCTATATACACAGTAAAACATATTATTAAGAAATACATCGTTTAACAAATATAATTTGTATATGTAACTTACCAATGTACACGACGCCGCATAACAATATCCACAGAAATAATGTTATATTCTTCATTTTCACTTCTTAATGAATGGTGGATACTGTAATCAAATCCTTTTATAATTTTAATACTTTTCCTTGTTTGTTACCGATAAACTTTATTTTAAGTAAATCATTTTTTTAGTCGAATTTTATCACGGAAAACGAATCTTTAAGAATATGGAAGTTGGCGATAAGCAAGATAAACTATTTTCCTCCAGTATTCGATATTTAATTATATGTTTAAAGCTTATTATAACTTTCTAATAATAACAATATAATTAAAATTTTAACAACTTTTTATATTTAATTACTTTATTATACTACTCGATAGTAAATTTGTACCGAAATTAGCGTAGATATACATTTGTTAGTTATAAAATTGATACTAAATAAACTTTGTATCCTAATTATTATTCAAAGATACACGAAGATATAAAATATTTTAACATGTTCTAGTTTAAATGCTTTAACATGCATCCAAGTCAACATTCTCTTTTATGATAGTTTAGTTTTTAGATAGTTTGATTAGTTAGTGAATAGGTTTTTTTAAAGTTTTAATTGGCATATTTTTTATGTTTTCAACGGAAAAATATTCGAAATTGATTAAAATCATTTAGTATTTTATACAAAGATTAGAAAAAAATCAAAAACATAAAAATGCAGATTCTTCCTACTGGAAATTATCTTTATGAAATAGGAAAATTGTTATTATTAAAAACTTAATAGGAAAAATAATTTCTTTTCTTGATTATGAAACTCTATATTGTATTATAATTTATATTCTATGCATCTTTTATTATAAAGATAAATTAATAGTAAATTTTTAAAACATTTCTATAAAGTTTAGTGTTATATAGAAACTTTGAGGATTTTCTTAAAGTTCAGTAAGGTCTGTTTTATATAAATTCTACAGTAACATTTAAAATTAATGTTTTAAGTTATAATTATAAATTTAAACAAAATAACCATAAAATTATTAAAATCTTGAATATTTTAATTGCAAAATTTAAATACATATACGATGACGAATACATCATTTATGCATTATTCTATCGTTCATTTCATTAAATTCATTCGAGTCTTCCAAAATTTTGTTATTCATAGAGTCAAGAATTTCGAAAAAAAAGTTTATAAAGCAATTTGCAAAACTTTCCTTTAACATTAAAAATCTCGATATAATACCGATTTGAAGATTTGATATTTCGAAGAAATAAAAAGAGCAGCCCTCAAGCAGTTCAATGAAACTGGATAAGTATAAAATTATGTCATTAATGAGAATAAAAATCCACAAAAACGATTGCTATCTACAATAAACATTTCTCAGAATGGCACGTGGCTAAATCACGATATGTATTAAATGAGGTGCAATTGTTAGCACTAGATTTAAAACGTAGATAGCAAAATACCGTATAATAGCTTTTAAATAAAATTAAAATATGGAATATTTTTTTACCGTACAAGTTATATTCATTATAAGTTTATCGACTGATAACAGCGAAATTTAATCTGAAAATTTTTGTTATATTTGAAAAAATACATTAATGAATATCTATCATATTTAATAAATTATTTTTCAGAATAACGTTTCTTCATACATTCAAACTTTATAAATATAACTATATGATTTCTGTGAGTTTTCACATGTATTTTTCGTATAAGAATATCCATTTTTCCACATCAAATACTTTTCAATACTATTTGTGTGAAAAAATTAATTTTTAAATTATAAAAGTTAATTCTAAAACAGTGGTGCGTTATTCCTTTGGCAAAAAAGGGGGCCTCATCTAATAAAGGATCCCAAACCAATATTTTATAAGAAAATATCTCTCCCCATAAATTCTCCCGAAGATAAATATCTGAAGTCAACACTGTACATCGGGCCCCTAATTCAAATTTGCCTGTTAACGCGTTATAATGCGACACTGTCTTAAAAATAATAATTAACATTTCAGTTAAAATGGCACACGGTATTCTTTAAAACTTAAAAAAAAAAGTTGAAAAAACGAAGTACTCTTCATTTCATCATATCCAATCACCAGGAAGAAAACAGTTTCTTCGGGGAGACCAGGGCCGTTTCTGGTAGGTGTGCATGGCCAAATTCATAGAGCGGTCGTTACTGCACTTATTAAATTATATTCGAATTTTATTTTTAAATTAGTTTTTTAATATAGTGATTGGCGATGAAATAGATTGATGTTCGCATGACGACTGATGTATCTGTGCAGTTTATGGATTTAAATAACGCCGAAGCATACATGTTAGTGTTTTGCATCAGAAAACTTAAAAGTGCAAGCAACAGGTGATGGAGAATTCATCCGTTGAACCAGAGAAAAATTCATCAGTGGAAATTCTATAACCACTACGAGTTTTTCTTGTTTTAAGTCACGTAAAAAAGCATAAAAACTTGGAGTTTGAAAACTCCAAGCTTTATTTAACGACTTATGATTAAATTTAAAGTTACACTTAGTTAACTCGTTGTAAATGGTTGCATTAAATAAAATAGATACAAGATTTAACGTTTATGCTTAATTTTCATTGTGAATGAACTTTTATTCCCGTATCGTTAATCTCATACCATTCTTTTAATTGTTAACGGAACGAAAAGGAAATTTAAATAAAGAGATGCGCGCGATTTAAACATTTAAATTTGAATTAATTTTTATACACACATACGTATATTTTATACTTATTTACTNTAATTTATAAATTTAAATTTTATTTAATCACATTCTTAAATCAACAGTATTACTTTCATCAATAAGAAACAGAATAATCTTTTATGATAAATTTGTGGTAATTTTATTCTTATGGAAAATTACTATAATGTATATTAACATTACACAGTATTTAATCGTATTTAAATTAGTATATAAAATTTATTGTATAAATATATACATATAACTTTTATGCAAGGAACTTTAAATAGATTTAACTTTTTATATGGACATTAAATTAGCATTTTGGAATATTTATACTAATATTTATGATTAGATACATAAAAGAGGACTCTAATTTTGATGCATGTTCTTCGTAATATTGTATTCGTATTGTAATATATCACTCCTAGTTGCTCATAATTAATTATGAATAATTATTAACTTTGTTCATTTGTTTTATAATACTACCACCAAAAACTATAAATATTTTCTCTTTCTACTTCATTATGATTTATTTTAGTTATTAATTCAGTATCAAATCTAATTTACTTAACATTATGTAAAAAAATATTACAAAATTATCTTTAGGTATATTTTGTTAGCGTACAAAATTCTACGATGAAGATAATTAAATTTTAAAGAAAAACTTTATAAAGTGAAACATATAAAAACGTCTAATTCAATTAAAATTTTCAAAAGTAAAATTATATTCACGTTTAGCAATCATGTGCAAGTATATAAAAGATTACAAAGTAAATAATTAAATGCATATTTCACTGTAGGATAATTTTCTTCGTAATTAAATTTATTTATATAATTTTGATTAATTTCAACGATTATATACGAGCAAATAAATGATAAAGTGAATGAAAGACATTAGCAAAGATATTTTTTCTTCTAGATAATAATTTACGATTGTCACATGTTTTGAATATCTCCATTTACAAACCACAGTGAAGGGGAAACGTGCCAAATCCGATATTTTCTGTATTTATTTTAAATCTAAGTGATTTGAATAATCAGATTTTAAAGCCAGATAATATGAACAAAAATATATCTACAAATGACGTATCCTGATAATTTATTTAGTATCTAAACTGGCATGTAGCAATATAATACAAGAGGCCATAAAAAACAAGTTTCGTAATTTTTCTAACTTTGATAAAAAAAATTTTATTTGTCTTCTCTATTATATTATAGTGTATATGATCAACTAATTACTATATTTTTTTTTAATTTGGGAAACAAATAATTCTTCTATTAATTTATCGTAGAATTTTAAAGCTTTTGCTGATTTAAAAGCTTCTTGTCTGGTTGTATTAATGTCTTACTATGTGAGCATAAAATTGCTATAACAGACTTATTATATAGGTTTTTATTTGCAAAATTTAATATTTTTACACAGATAATAAAACACAATAAAATTGCTCATGTATTTTTCTTAAGAATTTTCTCATTTTAAGTTTTTTATTAAACTTATAATTTTAAAAAAATTAAGTTTGATAATATCTTTTCTTTTACTATTTATTTATAATTTTGTTTTCTACGTTCTGTAAATACGAGGTATTTAGAATCGCTTAAGGTATTAAGGAAATTAATTTGGCCAAAAATATATCCTAAAACAATTAATGATCTTATTTTTTTACAGTTCTTACGAATTTCCGATTTTGTCATTCAAAAAAACATTAAAAAAATGATATAATAATAATATACGGAACCAAATAAGATTATAATGAACTGTACTTTTTTATCGGCTAACGATATAGATCAAGGAAATATATCTGCGTGTTTCGTAACATATTATAAATCAACTTTTAAATTACTTTATAAAATGTAATTGACTTTTGATGTGAAAATTTCATAGAAATTGTTTGAATGATAAATAAAACATTTATAAATTATGAAAATTAAAAAAATTAACAGGAAAGAAGAGACTGTACCTCTTCTGCTTAATAAATAAAACAGTTTCCAACGTTTGAGTAATAAATTGAGCAATATTATTTAATGAAAATAAAATTAGAAATACATTACTTTTTATAATAATGAAAAATTTTAAAAAATTCAGTGATATTAATTAGTCAGTTTAAAATATTTTAATTAAATAATTTTTACACAATGAAAAAGTGAATACTGTTTGTACTATTTCTAGATTTATTTCGAGGAAGAAGATTAAAGTAGTCTACATTTTATAATAAAAATATAAACTTAAGTGTAATAAAAATAGTTTAATGGTAAACTAATTAGCAATAT